CCCAAGTTAGTCTGCTCTGTAGAGATGATAACTACTATATTACTTTCTCTGTGGTTAGGTTGTTGAAAATGGAAACAAAAGGTCAATAAAACAGATTTCATCATTTGTTTCATATTTTTAATACAAAGTATGATAATTTGTTGTGCACAAACTTTTGTGGGAAAGGGACAGCTATCTACTATATATTTCAGAGAGTTTATCTGTTTATCTATGTGTTTATCTGTCCCCCAGCCAGGGAACATGCACCTCTCCCCCAGTGGCTATGGACAGATGCTTTTCAGCGGGCCTCAAGTTGCTGCAGTGAGATTGTCCTCTCCCTCTGGGGCAGCCTTGCATACTGAACCCCTCATCTCCAGCCTCACTCCAGAACAATGATTTAAATGAAGAAAAACAGAACGTATCTGAGTTAAGGATCTGAGCAACATGGGATAAATCTTCTATTATTTTATACAGTAAGTAGGAAAAAAACTGTTGATGTTAAACTGCTCCTCAGCTTTAGCCTCAATCATTTCACTGGTATCAGTGCATTACTTCTGGCTTAGGTTAGATTTCTGAAACTCCTCTACTCTCATTTTTTAAGCGATAGAGACTAAATCTGGCTCACCTTTCTTCATACTGTAATTAATGTCCAAAAATCCTATTTTCATTGCCCTCCACTAGACTTTTTCAATCCCAGCAATGTCCTTCATATGTTGTAATTGCACTCGCCATCCTATTCTTGACCGGACACCATACCTTATATAACCAGGGATTTCAGTAACTTTTTACTGAAGGCACAAACCACATTTACTAGAAAAAAGCCCAACACCTGCAAATTATTTTGCATTTCTTCACTCACTTCTGTATTTTGTTTCTGTCTCTCATTTGGGTTGCACCCACATTTTACTATACCCATGTGATTTGGGGTCAGATTCTGCATCTGTATGCACTGATATGGGGGTGGTGGGGAGTCACTGCAAGCCCTTTCTTGCCTTTCACTCCTGTGTACAGGGCCAACCAGAATCCCACATTTTGCACTTTGTGAGCAGCTCTGGTGCAGGGACAAAGGATAATGCTTTTCTGCATTGGCTAGAAATCAGAAGCACATAGTTTCCCTATTGAACAGTGTCCCCCGAGGTATTCTGCCTCTGTTGGCAGACAAAATGTTTCCAGGGGTGCTCAGTGACTTTAAAGACTCCATTTAATCTGATATGCAGGGCTTTAAAACACACTTTACACACACACCCATAGATACAGGCAAAACATGCAAGAGAGGAAGAAAATCCATAGATTCTGTGGTTGGAAGGGGCCACTATGCTCATCTAGTTGAACAGGGGCCAGAGAATTTCCTCCAAATGATCTCTTCAGCAGTTCTTTTAGAAAAATGTCCCATTTTGATTTTAAAATATGCAGTGATGGAGAATTCACCATGACACTTGATGATTTCAGTGTGATGTAATTCTGGTTAAATGAATATGGCCTGGCTAGAATTAAGGCTACAATGATTCGCTGAGGTTATGGAAGGCATCAAATGCATGACTTCCAGAAACCTCTGTAACATTTTCTGCTTTACACTGTGGCTGGAGCTGTCAGCCAGTGGGGCTCCCAGAGGGCTGAGCTGCCTTAAGGGGGGTTTCTAGGGAGTTAGCTGCCAGCCCTTGAACCTCCCAGCCCTGGATCTCTGAGCCTCTGTAAATAGTGCTGTGCATGTGAATGATTATGTCCTTCTCTTGCTCAGGCATTGGGATATTCACACTCCTGAGTGACAAGTTTTGCCAATATAGGCTGTGGTGTAGAAATGGCGTATGCTCAGAGCTCAGTGTCCCAAGGAGTTTATAATACTAGTTAACTACTGAATACGTCTTGCAGACATGTCCTGCATTTACTTTCTTGTTATAAAAACTGTCCTTTGGGGAAAAAGACTTTGCTCTCTGCAAATGTGCTAATTATTTGTGAACCTGAGTTATTACATTCAATCAATTTACAATTTTCTCTCTTTTTCTTATGAATGACAACATCCTTACAAAAGCAGCATGAGAGAGACACTCCCATCCATGCACACAGTGCCTAAATACAGTGCAGCAGGAAATGAAAAACAGCAATTACTTGGATTAAAATTCAGTAACAGCTTTTACTTTTCTATCCATAGTAATCAACACCAGCATTCTCCATTAAAAGGATGTTTGCCCAGCAGTTACCCAACAATACTGTCTGAGATAGCTCACTTGTTCCCCATTCCAAAAACAGAGAAAAATGCAGCTATCCACATACCACTGTGTGTTAAATATTGGGAAATCCTATTTTTTAAAATAGCAGCCTCTGTATTGTACTGTATTAGTAGTGCCACTCCATTGTCTGGAAGTGATAGGGAAGGCAATGACAAATATACAGGAAAGACCAATAACAGTTTCTGCATCACATTGCTTTCTACTCAATTCTGATACAAGAATGATACAAATTTTGAAAGTGCTTTTTCTCCTGTATCTGATCTGTGCATTGCTGTTGGTGAGTATGGGCTGATTTTGTGACGTGCCTTTTAGTACTGTACAATGTTCGTAGATTCGAAGGCCAGAAGGGACCATCATGGTAATGTAGTCTGATGCCTGAATAGCACAACCCACACAATTTTCCCAAAATAATTCCTAGAGCAGAGATTTTAGAAAAAATGTCCACTCTTGTTTTAAAAATGGCTAGTGATGGTGAATTCTTGATAAATTGTTCCAAAGGTGACTTACCCTCGCTGTTAAAAATGTGCGCCTTATTTCATATCTAAATTTGTGTCTTCCAATTCCAGCCTTTGGGTCATATTGTACTGTTCTCTGCGGGGCTCAAGAGCCCACTGCCAAATATTTGTTCCCCATGTAGATACTTATAGCCTGTAATTAAGTCACTTCTTAACCGTCTCTTTGGAGGCTTGTATGTGGATGCACAATTTGTATCCATGGATACGGAAATCCACAGAGCGGCCGGGAGACAATGAGTGAGACCAGCAGGGCTATGGCCAACGGCAGTCCAAGAACTGTAGTGGCAAAAGCAGCAGCACGTCAGGCTGCCACTCTCAAGAGCCAGCACTTAGCCTAGGCAGCTCCTCTGGTGTGGCTGTGCTATCTTCAGCCCCACTAGCTGGGGCAGACACAATTTCACTGGCAGCTGTCTGTGGGCACATTAGCCCGTGCAAGCAGCTCGTACACTTCCAGACAAGATCTGCACATTGCTGCAGCTTGACGTGCTACTTGCAGGACCTGACTAGAAACACACATAACTCATAGTGATAGAAATGTTTACCCATTACAAAGATAGCTTCCCCAATTATCACCTCTAATACTATTAACTCACAGACATCTCCCCTTCCCCACCTCTAATATCATTAACTCACAGGCATTCACCTTCCTTTCCCCTCCCCCCCCCCCCCCCGCATCCCCCTTCTGTTCTGAAATGTGATTTGTCCTTTTCATATGTGTTCATTTTTTTAAAATTGTATCCTTTGGTATATATGGCTGTGACTATTTTCTTCCACTATTTGATCTGAGGAAGTGAGTCTGGCCCACGAAAGCTCATCATCTAATAAACCATCTTGTTAGTCTTTAAAGTGCTACATAGTCCTGTTCACACAGAACTCAGTGATGAATCCCCATTTACAACTGCATTTTGATCCAGCTTTTAATCCATTTAATGTTTGCCATGTTAACTATATATTGTTTTAATTTTTTTTAATTGAAATGTTATGTAGTACTAAGCCAAATTCTTCACAGCAGTCTATTACATGAACACTATTATCTTTATCAACCAAACTTATAATGTCAAAAAAAGATGCCAAGTTAATTTGACAGGATATATTTTGTCATGTTAACTGGCATTAATTCTTTATTATTTGATTGAGTCCCATATCCGAGGCTCCTTCATTTTACATGGGATTGATATTAGCTACACAGGCCTATAATTATCTGGGTTGTCCCATTTAGACTTTTTAAATATTGGCACAACATTAGCTTCCTTCTGTCCTCTGGGACTTACTGGCTATTTCACTGTTCAGAAGAGAACAGGAACATTTATTTAACACTTCTGCCTTTTTCTGCATTATAACTGATAACTGTACCATTTCTTCTAGTAATGAATCAATTCCATTGTCAGGATACTTTTTGTACCAATATACTTAAACTACTTTGTATTGTCCTTATCTCTGCTGGCCATAATTTTCTTTTTGCGTTCCTTTGCTTTTCTTAACAATTTTCTACAATTTTTAGCTTCTTATTTATATCAATCACTATCAACTTCCCCTGTCTTCCATTGTTATATTGTATTTTATATTTTTATAGCTGCCTTTGCTATCCCTCTAAGCAAGATCAGTTCTTAAACTAATATAGCTTCCTCAATTGTATTTTTGGGCATCTAATAAATTGTTCTTAAACAATTCCCAATTATAATTAATATTTTTCTGATCAAATTCTTCCTCCCAGCAAATTTGACCCATAACTTTTCAGCCTTGTGAATTTGGGTCTTTTAAAGCACCAAGTATATATTGCTGGTTTGGACATTCTCTTTTTTGCATATTTTAAATGGGATTAAGGTCATGACCACTTGAATCTAAACTACAATTAATTTTTAGTTCTGTTATCTGTCAAGATGAAGTCCTAATATAGAATCCCTGTCTGGTTGCAACACTTGAGTCAAGTTGAATCAGGAAATTGTCATCTCTAATATGTTGAAATTCCAAGGATGTTTTAGTACTAGCAGCATGACGCCTCCAGCATATGACCCTCAAACTGACATCTCCAATGACACCACAGCTTTTTTTTTATTACACATTATATACAAGAACTTAAGGAGCCCAAGTGTGATTTGGTGGGTCTGTAGTAGGTAAATTAAAATCCCCATTTTGTGCTTTACCTCTTCGGACATTTAAGATCAGCATCTGAATTACCAGTGACTCAGAAACAGGTAATGCCATTATTGACAAAGTGTGCAACCCCGCTGCCCATTTTTGCTTATTCAAAGCTTCCCAAATAAGCAAATGTAGTTACCTGATTTATGCTCAAATTCTTCTTGTGGGTTTTCGTGTGATTTTTGCCTTCACTTAATTCTTCTGCAACAATTTTGCTCTTTCTCCACCTTCTAGACCTCTTTTCTAAATCATAATGGACTTCCTCAGTCCCACTGCTATCTGAATACTCTAAACTGTCAGCCTGTGGATTCAAATTTACATCCAGTTCTCCATGCAAATGTGCTTTTTCCACTCCGGATTTGTCACTCTGAGTTCTCCTTTGTTGCCAGGGAAGCTTGCTAGATTCTCTAGCCTCCCATGAGGAATTTACTGAAGATGTTTCAGAATCAGAATACATCGTCTCGGTGTTGGTGTACAGCCCAGATGAAGGTGAGGTCATTGTCTGGTACTGATCACTGCCATAAACCCATTCTGTATTGTACTGGGAATCGGTACAATATGACTCTTCTGACAACTGCTTGGGCCTCCGACGCAGCTTGTTCAAGGCCACATTCCAGTCGTAGTCATCCTCACTCTCTGAGCCCATCTCGTCATAAGCAGAGACGACACTGGATTCATTCTCCAACGCTTTGAATACTTGGCTCTTTGGTTTGGCAAGCATTCGAGGGCGATGCAATGAAATGCTCTGCAAAGCCACCCAGTTCCCATCAGTGCTTTGTAAAACAGGAGGTGGGCCTATGACATTAAAAGAAGAACAAACCCCCCCCCAATTACTACTTTATTATTTCAGTGGGACAGGCTGACTTTTGTACCGTCAAATACAGATTTTAGCAGAGACTGCCCATTCTAAAGGATATGTCTACACAGCAAAATCTGTGGTCTAGCAGCACTGGGTATGAGCCCAAGGTCTGCAAGTGCTGCCTTTCCTGCTATTGTTATCCATACTAGCTGGATTCAAGCTAGCTCAAGTAGGCTACTGTGTATGCAGCTTCTGCTGTGTAGACATATACCGTATAATGGGACAAGCACAAGATAATAGCAGACAAAAAATGAGCATGTGGTAGTATGTTACATAGATTCTATCAGACCCTGAATTGGGGACCTTCCTGATTTTCTCATTTCAATCAGAAGTCACCACAGAATTCTGTGGGACATCTTTTTAAAATATATGAGACAACAGGGTCCAAGGTTAGGCTATGCAGCCTGGTATTTAAGGCTAACGTTCTAAAATTCAGAAAAGAAAAATATGCAACAAATGCTATGTATCTACTCAAAATGTAAAGTCCATATTGCTTCTACATATAGATTCCATTGTCCACAGGACATGAAATGTCTTTGAATGGGAAGTCTGAACATCTGTTAGGTTTATTATTCATATTTCTCATAATGACTGCAGAACTAAACACTGTTGTGGCTTTGCATACTCTTTTTAGCATACCGAATCAAAATAAATCTGCAATACAGATTCCTTTCTGAGGCACAACTGATTGTTCAGATTAATCATTAAAAGGCCAGACAATACAAGCTACTATCCTAAAGTTTTAAACCATCTTTTTCACACGAACAGTTACATTTAAAATATATTATTTTTATGCATCTTGTTTTCTTCCCTTAATTTATGTTTATAAATATATGGAACTCAAGATTACGAATGTTATTTGACACTCATATAATTATGGAATAAAATATACCATATAGTAGCTATACTTTAAGTTTTGGAAGAATTTTCTCTTGGGACATAAACAAAATGACAAATAAAAACTAAAGCAAAACAAACTCCAGAATATTCCACTAACAAAATGGTAATTAAACTTACAATATCTAGCAGGCTTTTTGTTTGTTTATTTATATCTGTTTGGCCTATTTCATTCCCAAATCTTAATACTATTGAAATCCTAATGCCATTGCCTGCTCCATCCCTTGGGAGGCTGGTGTTGGTGGGGGGGAAGGAGAATGGCGGGAAGGGAGGGGAGGGTTCAAGCCCACCACCCTGCGCTCCCCCAGGCAAATGCCCTATTCCCTCGGCCACTCCAGAAACCACCCGATCTCCTTACCTGCAGGGCATCCCGTATTGTGCCTTACTAATACAGGAGCCAGCTCCATCTCTGGGGCAACTGGTGTTGGCCGAGGGTACGGGACTTGAAAGAAACTGAGTTAGTGTCTCAGGAAGTAATTATGCTTCTTGCCAAAAAAATCAATTTTTGAAGATCTAAATCTCATGATGGGATTGGCTAAATAAACTGAGAAAACTTGCCCTGTCTTACTACTATTGAAAAGTTGAAAATTTGGTACAAAAGAAGTGACACCTTTTGGTGCAAAGTAAGAAAAATAACCACGATCCAATACCATAAAGGTATAAGTGAAACCAAGCTAACTACATGGTGTGGAAGAAGATTGTTTTCCCTCCTCAAATACTGTAGCAAGACAATGCAAGGTCTGGAAGGTCACAGATTTGTACTGCTGTTTGCTTCTGGGGACCATATTCAGGTATAATATCTTACAGACAGAATTACCTGTACGTGGGATCACTCTGAGGCTATGTCTAGACTGCAAGCCTCTTTCGAAAGAGAGCGTCTAGACTGCACGGAGAAATTTCGAAAAAGCGGCTTGCTTTTTCGAAAGAAAGCATCCAGTGAGTCTGGATGCTCTCTTTCGAAGAAGTTCTATTTGCATTGAAGAACGCCTTCTTTCGAAAGAGGAACTTTCGAAAGAAGACGTTCTTCCTCGTAAATTGAGGTTTACTGCCATCGAAAGAAAAGCCGCGTTCTTTCGAATTAATTTCGAAAGAACGCGGCTTGAGTCTGGACGCAGGGGAAGTTTTTCGGGAAAAGGCTACTTTTCCCGAAAAAACCCCTGAGTCTGGACACAGCCTGAGGGAACAGTCTCCAAACTGCACAGTAGGCTTAAGAAACTGGGATGTTGGTAAAGTACAAACTGGTGATGCTGACAAGTATTGTGTGGTGGCTAAAAAAAAGTATTTCTGGTATGGAACAGAGAATTTTATTTTAATTAGCCTCTGTTCTGTTCAACTATATTTCTTATGGTACTACATATTTTTAGATATATTGTACCAGTTTTTTAAAAAAATGTAATTAAAATAAAAGCAAAATTAATATTATAAAAAATATGTTTTAAAGGCAAAGTAAGCTTACACTGTGAGATATATCACAGAAGGTGAGATTTCGTACTTTAGTCCTCGTGTTAATAGTATTTCAACTAATTACAACTACCGTGGTCTTAAAAATGTGCTGCTGGGTATTAACTTAAAAAAGAAAGAATAGAAAATAAAAAATGCAAATAAAAGTGACAGTAAAATATATATATATATATATATACACACACACACACACACACACACACAGGGCTCAACAAACAATACAATCTACTCGCCCATGGCGAGTAGATTTCAGCCGCGCGCCCCGTTCATTCGCGGTGCGCGCATGCGCATTGCGACTCTTGCGCATGTGCAGTACGGGGCTGGCGAGCAGTTTTTGACGCCGTTCGTCATGCCCTGGTAATGAAGATATTTTATAGAAAATCAAGTGCAAAACTTAATAACTTTGTGACTTATTTTTGTAACCAGTGTCTGGCTGCCTGCTTGCCTATTTCACCCTCACACTGTTACGCTGCTAAAAAAAAAAAGACAGGACTATGAAGCACTTTAAAGACTAACAAGATGGTTTATTAGATGATGAGCTTTCATGGGCCAGACCCACTTCCTCAAATCAAACTGTGGAAGTAAATTGGCATGACCATATATACCAAAGGGATAAAAACAAACAAAAAGTGAACATGTATAAATAGACAAATCATAGCAGTGGAATGTATTCTAGTCCTGACATGAGCGATTGGCTTTGTTTCTTAGGAGACAGTATTAGGAAAGTAAATGGATCAATAGACTAAAAACAGGATGTCTTTGTTCTACCTAACGTAAGGGGGAACAGCCAGAGAACCACTATCAATGGACAAGGTAATGGTGAATAAGCCTGAAAGGTAAAATGAGGTAACAAGTAAGTTGTTCAGTGACAAGAAGTGCTGTACAGGGATTGATTCCTATTCAGAGCTCGAAATAAGCTACGCAAATTGAGCTACATCAATTGTGTAGCTTATTTTGAAATTGGAAGTGTCTACACAGCACTTATTTTGAAATAGAGCACTCTTCCTCCAACTTCCCCTACTCCTCATACAATGAGGGTTACAAGAATTGGAGTAAGAAGTCCTCCAACTTGACAGCATTTTGATATTATTTTGAAATAACTGCCTGTTGTGTAGAAGAGGACTAAGCTATTTTGAAATAATGTTGCTGTGCAGACATACCCAAATGACCATGTCAATACCAAAACATGTGATGCAATGTGTAGTAAAGGCAACAGAATGCGTACATGCACATGAAGAGAGAGGTTTGTTTGTAACTTTGGATGTGTGGTATGCCCTATACCCCTTTCTACACTTGAGCCTAATCAACAAATAAAGAATCCTGAGTGATGAGTCTGGTGTTGAACGCAGTTCTTGCAGGACCAAATGTGTCTCAGGGGAACCTCAACAATTCAGTATCAGTACAATCTAGTTGTACTTCTGCCCATTTTCCCAAAACATACACAGAAGTTCATGCTCCTTTGTTTTGAGTAGATACTGCTTGCAGCAGAGCTGAATTTGTTAACATTTATTTTTGTTGATTAGAAAGGTGAAGTAAGTTAGTGCAATAGCGGGAGAAGGCAACAACGTACAGAGAAGTTACTAACAAAAAGCAGCATTGATTCTCTCTCTCTCTAGCTAATGATGTCAAATGTGGCTTATTAGAAACCTCTGACATAAAGCAAAAGGCAGTTGCCTGACAGAAAAAAGATATTAAGCACAAATTGCGTAGTCACAGTGCCTTACATTATAAATTATTTATGGACAAATGAGAATGGCCAGAAAAATTCTCTCAGCGTGAAACTGATCATTTAAATTTGTATATGAAAATTCAGAGCTTGTTTCACTGCTGCCTGGTCCCTGGTGCAGCATTTACATCTGTACAAAGTTGTTGCAAAGTAGATGTAAACACTACTAACTGACGGTGGTTGAGTTTTACAATCACTTTTCATGGATTTAATAACTAATGGAGGTACATGGCAGTGGGGAATCAGACTGTTGGTTTTTTGCTACTAGCATATTCAGCTGTTAGTTGGGATCCTCTTGCAAGTTGGGTGTTTTAATGAAAAGCTGCTAAACTAGGTGGGTTTACTGCACAAGTTAATGCAATACTTATTAAATATAAAATAGACTCTACAGGACAGCTGTGTTTTATCTCAGCTGTGAACTCAGATGACAGACAGGAACTTGTCAGAGCAAAGGCCCCTGCCAAAATAACTGTATCAACTTGTCACTAAGTGATGGTTAAATAATTGTCAAGTACTAAATAACTGTGTAGTTGATGTCAGTGGGATTTAAGTGGGTGCTTAAATTTAAGTACATTTAAATGCTTTGCTGAATCCAGGCTTTGGACAGGAATTCAACCCATAAGAATAACACTTTCTATATGAATGAGAACAAGTTATTTGGAACAGAACTTTACACAGCAATAAGTATTACATTAGCTCACTAATACTTTATTGTTATTTTACGTACCAAGGGCCAAATTGTCAAGTCCTTATTCAGGGGAAAACTAGCAATAAAATAATTAATTCCATTGCTCGATTACTGTCATTTAAGTATCATAAATTTAGTATCTTATTTTGTTTTTAACATTGACTCTGCTCCCACTGAAGTCAATGGAAGTTTTGCCACTGAATTCAATAGAAGGACCGGGTCTCTTACTTCAAGTTTAATTTGCTCAACAGGAATAACAGAATAAAGTATCATACTGCTAATATAAATACTTACTTGTTTCATTCAGTCTGTCCACACTTTTCCAGCTGGGCAATGCAGACAATTTGTGTTCCCTCTGTCTTCTGATTAGGCCTTTCTGCTGTCTCCAAAGAATCTCAGGCATAGAAGATGCTAGGTCCAGATCTTGGCTTGGTGTCTCTTCACTAGTCAGAGAAAATGCAGACTGAGACCTCTGTTGAAATAAAATTCAAAGAACAATATCTAAAAATAGCAGTAGCCAACTATTGAAAAATTAATTCTAGGGCTGTCAAGCAATTTAAAACATTCAGGTTCTATTTCTTGATCAGACAATCGTTCAGACATGCAAGTTTGGTTACCATTTACAGAAGATAATGCTGCCTGCTTCTTGTTTACAGTGCCAGCTGAAAGTAAGAACAGATGTTCACATGATGCTGTTGTAGATGGCATCTCAAGGTATATGTGCCAGATGCACTAAAGATTCACGAGTTCCTTTATGCATCATTCCAGAGGACATGCGTCCATGCAGATGGTGGGTTCTGCTCAATAACAATCCAAAGCAGAACAGATCAATGCTAGTTAATTTTAATCAAGTGAGTCAAATGCCACCAACAGAAGGCAAATTTTTTTTTTTTGGTGGTTTAGGTTCTGTAGTTTCCGCATCACTGTGTTGCTCCTTTTTAAGACTTCTGAAAGCATGCTCCATACTTCATCTCTCTCAGATTTAGGACAACACTTCAGATTCTTGAACCTGGGCTGAGTGCTGTAGCTATTTTTAGAAACCTCACACTGGTGCCTTCTTTGTATTTTGTCAACTCTGCTGTGAAAGTGTTTTTAAAACAAAACATGTGCTGGGTCATCATCCAAGACTTCTATAACATGAAATATATGGCAGAATGTGGGTAAAACCAAATAGGAGATATATAGTTCTCCCCCAAGGAGTTAGTGACAAATTTAATGAACACATTTTTTAACAAGCATCATCAGCATGGAAACATGTCCTCTGGAATGGTGGCCGAAGCACGAAGGGCCCTATGAATATTTAGCACAGAGGACACACATACCTTGCAATGCCAGCTACAAAAATGCCATGCAAATGCCTGTTCTCCCCTTCACGTGACACTGTAAATAAGAAGCAGATAGCAGTATCTCCTATAAATGTAAACAAACTTGTTTTCCTGACCGAATGGCTGAACATGAAGTAGGACTGAGCACACTTGTAGACTACAGTTTTACATGGTTTTGGTTTTGAGTGCAGTCATGTAACCAAAAAAAATTTAAAATAAATCTACACTTGTAATTTCAACTTTCACGATAAAGTGATTACACTACTATACTTGCATGAGGTCAACTGAAAAATACCATTTGTGGGTTTTTTATCATTTTACAGTGCAAATGTTAATAATAAAATAATACAAAGTGAGGTACTTACTAGACAGCCCTCATTCATTCTAATTAGCAGTAAATATAAATATTCTGATACTTGGATAAGTGCACGTCAAAGATGTGCAGGGAATGGAAATAGCTTGAGAATGGAAATGGATTAGTTCAGAATAACATTTTGAGGTTTGGACAGTTTGTTTATAAACCTTTCAAATGCTATTGCTTCCTCTAAGGCTGGCAGGACTTGTTTGTATTTCTATGCACAAGACTATAAGTAGTTAACAAGGTGAAGCAGTGATAATGTATAAGTCTGGGCATGTTGCTTGAAAGCATCAGTTTACTTATGTGTTAGCCAGGGATGAACCCATACCAATGATACAGAACATGCTGATCTATTGTTCCCAATAGTGCCAAATTTAACAGGTTAAAAAAATGAGAAAAAAAATCCCAGAAAAGCCAAAATAAACTTGAAACTCAAGCAGCTTTAATTTTGGGATTCTTCTGCCTGCAGGGAATTCACACAATCCAAGAGTAGATCTGTTTTATTATGCCCAGCCAATGGAGCCCACACATTCCTATACTGTATTTGCTCCCCATTTCTAACACAGGGGCTGTTATAGTAAACCATTCAAAGGGAATATAAGTTATGAGCCAAGGTACTACTGAGATGGAACAGAGAGTCCATTTCTGTGGGGAAAGTGGTTTAGCTAGGAACAATATAAGCAGGTTTAGCTACTGCCAGAGAATGGCATTATACAACAGTGGGGTCGAGTGAGGGCCCCTGGCCTGCTGATGGGGGAGGGGAAAAGGGAGCAACTGCCCTGGGGGCCCGGTGATTCAAAGGGGTCTGAGGTTGGCTGCCATGGCAGCAGCGACACCTCGAGTCCTGAGCCCTCTAAATCACCACCAGAGTGCCAC